GGTTTATTATGGAATTTAATCACCTCAACAATGTACATTCACAGCAACACCTAGATTAATGTTTCATTGAAAAACTAAGGGCTAAAGCCTAGCCAAGTTGACATGTAAAACTGACCATCATGGCCCATCCCTTCTCAACCTTAAACACATCTCCTTCAATTACACTTAATCTTCAAATAAACACAATAACATGCTTCACCTAACACAATACAACTACCCTGCGTAGAACCAAAAATACAGTAACCCTTTCTCCAGAAGATACAAAGTCCTCCGTGATGCTCACTCTTTTCCCTTGATATCCTGTAAATTAAATACTGTGATACAAAGTTCCATGATGCAAGGATAAAGGAGAGAAGAAAACAAAAAATAATTTATATATATATAAAATAAATATATATTAATTATTATGTGTATATGTATATTAGTATTCATGTATTCATAACACAAGAAATATTGATAATGAATACAAATCTCATTTCTACACCTGATTACATGGTCTTAATGACTATGTAGAATTGCTTTCTTAAACTACCCATTTTATATTCATTTTTCTCCTAACAAGCATGTCAGTTGTTTATGGTTCTTTGCCTGATAGGTTGACCCAAACCTTCTTTCCTGAAGAGTCTGGGCCATTAGAAATCCTGCCTGAACTGGGTTGTAATTTCCCACTAACTTTAATCCCAGTCATGGTAGTATTAAGAGATACCACAAGAAATCTCCTATATCCCACACTCTTCCTTACCTCTATTGCTTAATAGCAACTAAATGTCCCCTTGGTCATTGGGCTTAATCACCTGCTGGTTCAGAGACATGAGGAGACCAAAGTGGGCAGATGACAGTCTCAAATTCCAGTTCAGTGGAATCATTGTTGTATCTCCTTGTGAAAACATTACCTCCTTTGGAACTAAGACCTCTAGAAAAGTCACAGGGACAGGAAGCAAAAATTTGACTAATGGCTCAATGGAGTTAATAGGCAGTGGAGCCAACCCCGTTTCCACCCCTTGGTTTCTGGACACATGTATACCGCTAATGGGAGAAGCAGTACTGTACACTGAGTGTTGATTTAGAGCATATACAACATCCTGGAGTACATTGCCTCAGTCCTGCAAAGTATTGTCACCTAGCTGGTGCTGTAAATGCATCTACAAAAGGTTATTCTATCAAACCAGCTGCTTCAGGATGGTGGGAGAAATGGTGGGAGAAATGGTAAGATCAGTGTAGCACAGATCCATTGCTTATTGTATTTCATTTACTGCAAAGTGTACTTAATTATTGATCGGAAGCAATGCTGTGTGGAATCTCATGACCGTGAATACGTTATTCAGTAAGTCCACAGGTGGTAGTTTGGACAGACAGATTGCATTTAGGAAGGCAAATCTATATCTAGAGTTAGTGTCTCTTCCAGTTAGAACATAGTGCTGCCCCTTTCGTGCTGGTAGTAAGTACAGTTAGTCCAGTGTAACCAATCATTACTAGGTAACTGGCTGATTACACCATGGAATGGTGCTATATTGAGGACTCAGTGTTGGTTTCCACTATTGAATGGTTGGGCACTGGATGTGGCCAGGCCAGCCCTGGTGAGTGGAAGTCCATGTTGCTGAACCCATTCTCAACCTCCATCCCTGCCATCAGGGCCATTTTTTTTTTTTTTTTTTTTTTTTTAATGAGCCCACTGGGCAATGACAGAAGTGACTGGGAAAAGAGGCTAATTAGTATCCACAGAATGGGTCATCTTATCCACTTGATTATGAAAATACTCCTCTGTTGAGGTCAACCTTTGGTGAGCATTCACATGGAACACAAATCTTCATAATTTTAACCATTCAGAGAGCTCTATTCACATTTCTCTTCTCCAGACCTTCTTGTCATCAATTTTCAGATCATGTTCCTTCCATATCTCTGAACATCCAGACAAACCATTGACCACAGCCTATAAATATGTAGACTGTACAGACTTATATCTTCAGTCATTTCTCATTCTTGGCAAAATGAACAATCAGGTGCATTTGTCAAGGTCTGCCCACTGGGATACATTTCCTTTACCACTGACCAAAGATATACCAGAAAGGGGCTATATTGCTGTAGCTGTTCACTTTGAGGTGGTTTCTGTAAAGCAGGTCTGTTTTCCCTTCCTCAGTCACCTGCTCATAGAGAAAACCTTGTGAAGCTATACAGGAGACCAAATGTGATGTAGCATGAATAAAGGCCGTAGGCATTTGGGTCACTTCCTCATATTATGTGTGCCTTCAGGGCAGCCTGATCTTATATGTATCGCTTCTATTTGTATAATAGAGTACTGCTGTCCATGTCTAACAGCTTGGTGGGTCAGATAATACCCAGTTTATAATGACAGCCAGGTCACACACTAACTTGGTAGCCAAGGCCAAGTGTTCAGCGTCTGCTAAGGCCTGGCAGCAAGCCACAAAATGTTTCTCAAAAGGAGAGTAGTTAACCACAGCAGATGGCAGGAATTTGTGTGCAAACCCTAATGGTTTATGCTGTGATTCACCTACAAGGCCCTACTGAAGGTCTTGAGATACATTATATGTGTGGTTACTGGAATAGATGGAAGCATGAAAGTTATAATCATATGCCCGGCCAGTGTGGCTCAGTGGTTCAGCCTCAACCCATGCACCAAGAGATTGTCGGTTCGATTCCCAATTGGGGCACATTTAGAAAAGATTAATAAAAACAAGTAAGATAATTCTTATCCAAGCCACTTACTTCAATTCAAGGTCACAAGTGGCCAGAGCCTCTCCTGGCAGCTCAGGACAAAAGGTGGGAACCAGCCCTAGACAGTATGTCATTCCATCAAAGGGCACAGCACATACACACCCACACTCAGTCAGACAGGAACAATTTAGACATGCCAATTAACCTAACATGCATATCTTTGGGGTGGTGGAAAGAAACTGCTGTGTTCAGAGAAAACCCGTGCTTGACCTGGGGAGAAAGTGCAAACTCCACAGAGACAGTATTCAGAATCAATCATTTTTTCTCATCAGTGGTGAAACAAAACAACTTTGAATGAAATGAGGTTATTCGACGTCCTGCTGTACTGCTTTTGCTTTTCTACTTATGTAGAAGTGGCAGATGCAGTGGCTTCCAGTTGGCCTTCTGTGCCATAATAGCCCCCGTTCAACAGATCAGTCAAGACCTCCATGGGGGATTCTGCCAGCTGCGGAACATTTCTATTTCAATTATGCATTTCAGAGCCTGAAACTAACTAGAGCATAAGTCCAGGGACCCACTAGACTCACTGTGAGACATACGTGAACTAAAATGTCATTATCTCATAAATTCCATAAGCTCCCATTCTGACTAGTGGACCACAGTCATGTTTTGAGTGAATTTAGTGTCAGTACAGCGCCAGTGTCCAGTAATCCCCACAAAACATGATTATTTCTCTTTCATGAATACCTGTCAGTCAGGTAAATGGCTGCAGTTCCCTTTTGGGAAGGCTGGGGGAAAGATTCACTTATATGATTTTTGGCAGCGCAGCAGGGTTCTTCCTCACAGGGGGCCAGCCTCCTCTTCATTCAAGGAGTTCTGCATCTGTAAACTGGCTGGATTCTGGAAATTGATGTAGGGGCTTTGAATTTCTGGTTAGGTCATTCAGTTAGAATTCTGCACACTTGACCTAGAACACTTTCACTAAGACAGATTAAGTAAAATTTTAGTAAGTTGCTTTCTATTTCTTTTCTAGGGACATCACCGTCAACCCATCCTACCATAAGTCCCTGTGAGTCAGATTACTATGATTATAGCTATTTATTTATTTATTTATTTATTTATTTATTTATTTATTTATTTATTTTTATCCTCATCCAAGGACATTTTTGCATTTATCTTCAAATAGAGCAGGAGGAAGAGAGAGAGAGATACATCGAGTGGCTGCCACCCATACGACCCCAACTGGGGCTGTGGACAAACTGCAACTGAAGTACATGCCCGTAGGGGGAACCGAATCCAGGACTCTCTTGTGCGCAGGCTGATGCTCTAACCGATGAGCCAAACTGGCCAGGGCTATTTTTATTTATTTATTTATAAATTTTTTTTTCTCTATTGATTTTAGAGAGAGCGGAAGGGAGAGGGAGAGAGAGTTAGGAACATCAATGAGAGAGAACATGGACTGTCTGCCTCCTGCATGCCCCCCACTGGGGATCTGGCCCACAACCTGGGCATGTGCCCCGACTGGGAATTGAACTGGCAATCTCTTGGTGCATGGGTCGAAGCTCAACCATGAGCCCCACAGGCTGGGCATATGATTATAACTTTCCTGCCTCCATCTATTCCAGTAACCACAGTCACCTTACCTTTGATGCTTAAGTACCACCCCTGGCACATGCCACCCTAGGATTCCATTAACCCCATTGCATTTAGGGATTCTGGTTTAATGGTAGCAGTTCCCACTGTAATTTTGGATGTATAGAGATCAACCAGAGAACCCTTCAAGGATGCTGATCTCCCCTCATAAATTTATTTCTCACAGTTGTAGTGAAAGATAAGTTCTCCTGGAGTGGGTGAGCAGGTCTTCATGATAAACACATTCTAACAGTGCAATCTCCTTTATCCTTTGGATACCTTACCCTACAGTATACCAAGGCACTTCATTTTTTTACTTAGTGTAGTAGACCACCTTTGAGCTATGTTTCCTCCAACCAACTAAACATTCTTTAGAGTGCTCTCTAACCCCTTGAGCTGAAACATCAATCCAAGATCTCTGCAAATTGTGATATCAATAAATTCAGCTGGATCCAACTCTTTTTTTCCTTTCACCAGGATTCCACACCCATCGCTCCATTCAACACACAGTTCCCAGATTTCTGTCTGTATACACTGGGGGAAACGTGCTGTTCTTTTTGTATACACATCTCATGGGTCATACTTTGTACCCCACCCTTAGGAGTCTGCTTGGACATGAGTCTACTTATAGGTTAAGATGCAAGAGGGATGGTGAGGGTGAGCCATAAGGAGACTCAGCAGTGTTTTGCAAGGCAATGACCTCTGGAGAAGCTATTACAGGTTGTTACTGCAAAGAAGGGTTAGTATCTCAGGTGGAGGTGGAAAAGCTGCTTCTCTTGGTAAAGAAACTTAGTAGTACATAAGGTTCAATGTCCCCAGAGTCATTGAGATCTGTCTATATGACCCCAAATCAATGTTCAGGATACCATTCTTTCCCAGTCAATGCCTTCGCTTCAACAAAAGACACCTCGGGAACTTAGGAATTTAATTTGTAGTATGATTCAGCCACTGGCAGAGGGAGAGTTTAGGTCCGGTTTTTGGAAATCTTAGCTACAAGGTTACAAAAGATAAGAGTTTCTTTAGGGTCTTATGGAATGAGTAACGTTTACCCTCTTCCTAAGTTCCTTTTCTCATACTTGAAGGGCATTGGGGCCAGATCTGAGGGTCTTCTGGCTCAGCAAACATCCACTCTTTGAATGGAAAGCTTTCTTCGACCTTGGAGACAATCATAAATTCTCTGCCCTCCAATTCTACCACTCAGGGAGCGGAAGCGATCCCCTATAGACTTCACTTTCCCTTAAGAAGACGACTCCTTCCTATTTACACAGTGGGGTGCTATTGTGGAGTCTGCAGAAGTCCACCTTCTAAGCAAACTCTGGATTGTCTCGAGCCTTTGAATTCTGAGATGAGCTGTCTTTGCTGTTCTCAATAAATATCATTCCCACTACAATGTCAAGAGAGCAGAAACCATATATTTCCACGACTGGGCCCACTGTGCTTAGCATAGTAAATGGCACATAGTAAGAATTAATTCATTATTTGTTGAATTCATAAATGAATCTCAGTATGAGAGAACATTTTTATTTTTATTTTTTTCTTTATTGATGTTTAGAGAGAGAGAAAGGGAGAAGGAGAGAGAGAAACATCGATGAGAGAGAACATCGACTGGCCACCTCCTGCATGCCCACCACTGGGGATTGGGCCCACAACCTGGGCATGTGCCCTGACCTGGAATTGAATTGGTGACCTCTTGGTGCATGGGTGGACGCTCAGCCACTGAGTCACACTGGCTGGTCAAGAGAACATTTTTAATGGACTAAAATCAGCACAGAACTCAAATTTCCTGGCTTAACTGAGCAGAGCCAATATGACAATGCTAACATTTATATACAGACATTTATAAATACACACGTCCTTTTTCAAAATATGTCCACAGTTATCTTAACAGTTCTTCCACTGCCACCCCTCGGACCCAAGCCTCTGGCTCCCACCTGGATCACCGCAATAATCTCCTAACCCATCACCTTGCTTCCTTCCTCATCCCTCTCAAGTCTTTAACGGAGTAACCAGAGGAATCCTCTCCACCTAAAGCTCAAATTATTTTGATTCTTAACTCAAAGACGTCGGATAGCTCCGTGTTTCATTTAGACGAAAAGCTGAAATCCTTATAATGGGTCAATGTGTTTACTCCGCTTACTTCTCTGACTCATCTCCTAACACATCCCAGCTCACCCAATTTGTTCCAGCTCCATTGTTCTCCTCCCTGCCCTCCTCAGTACCACCTCAAAACCTTTTCCCTGGCTGTATTCACTACATAGAATATTCTTCAAGTGTTTGCTCAAAAGTCACCTTCTCTGTAAGGTATGACCTTATCACTCTATTTTAATTTACAACTCCTTTCCATATTCTCTATTTCCCTTACATTGCTTTTTTTAGCTTCAAGGGACTTTAAGTTATGTAATATATAACATAAATAATATTTTATTTCTTGTTTTCCCCCTTCCTCCTCCCTAGAATGTAAAATCCATGTCAGAAGTGATAGTTGCTTTTTTTTCATTGCTATATAATTTGGTATTTGGTATCTAGCACACACTAGGAGTTCAATAAATACTGAATGAGAACATAAAAAAATAAAAACAGAACAGAAGTAAGGAGGTAAAACAAAGTAGGAAGCCCCGGGTGTATTAGTCTTAATTTGTTCTGGGACACTTATTTATGTTATTGAGAAAACTACCTCTTAGGGAAAGACTCAGTCCTACTTCCACAGCTCTTCTGAGGCCCTAGGGGGTATTCACTAGACCCCCTGCCTTGGGGCAGATGCCCAGTAGCCTGAGGCATGGTCCTTAGGTGCACAGTCAGGGACTTGGAAGTGGCCTTCCATGTTTTCTTTACAGGAGCGTTTCCTCTGGGCCACAGAGTTCATTTACTAAAAGAAAGCAGAGGTGGGATGTCAGAAATCGTGCCCAGGGGATTTATTAAAATCTTATCTCATAGACCACAGCTTCCTGGGAGCGATCGTGTTAGCTGGGGAGAGATTTCCCTTTAAACAATATTTCTGAGTGGAGAGACAAAGTCATTGGCATCACATAGGGAGGCAGAAGAGCCACCCCAAGGACAGCACCCCAGCTGACCAAGACCTCGGGGAGAGTGAGGCCAGGCATCACAGGTTGTTTTCTGGGTCCTGTTTCTGTATTCTCTTTCTCTGATTTTTTCTTTATTCATCTTTCCTCCAGAGCCCAGTAGGAGTGAAAGTGCTTTTAAGAGCCTAAGCATTGATGTTAGCTCCACAATTGCTTCTTGGCTAGAAACATTCCCGCAAAGGTGATTGGGTCAGAGAAGCAGCCTGACCTGACTCACACAGAGAGGAGGCAGACAGACTTGTTCCTATGTGACCCTTCTCTTAGACATGTAGGCCATTCAGAGACCAGGCTGCCCATTCCCAGAGATGCACTGCAAAGCCGGACGAATGGTAGGACCCTGACTCACTGACCTCACATATCTCCTCACCGCTGGTACCTTTCCCAACACTGATGCAAAAGCTACTTTCTTTACTCACTAATTTCTAGTTGCACTTTTCAGCTCCCCCCAAGCGAGCTACACAGCCTGCAGTAAAATCTACTGCCACTATCTCGGTTCCATCTGAGGTAAGAATTTTGTCCCTGTTGGTGGGGTGGGGCTGGGGATATGATAAGGTGTTTGAAAGTGGGTGGTTAGGAAATGGGAGCAGAATCCTAGAAAATGTTACCTGTACTTTCAGTCTTGGACACCTCAGTAATGTTGGTCTTATTCATTCAACAAATAATCATTAAGGATATTCTATAATTCAGGCACTGTGCTGTATGTTGAACAAACACTGTAAGACCCAAGGACTATACTTAAAGTTTAGTATAAAAGAGCTGTTGAGTACAAAGTCAGGGAGCTTCTCATTCTGGGGGAAGCAAGGCAAGCTTCTAGGAGTTAGTAATAGCTAATGTTCTGAAGTACCAGAAAGGTTTCCCCTCACACACAAAAAAGATCAGGGATTTAAGAAACAAGAAAAAAGGAAAGGAAGGGGGTAATCTTGGCAAGGGATATCTAAGTCTAAAGTCCTAGAGAGGCAAGAGAAAACAGTTTCCTGGGGAATTCCGATCAGTATGGAGGAAAGTGGGGGTTTGGATACAGAAGGAGGAGGGAGTGGGTGTCAGGGGCCATCATAAGAAACAATGAAGGAGAGGTCAGCCTGACCAGACCATGGTCAATGTTGTGTAATATGCCAAGAAGATTGGATCTGGTCTTGAAGATAGTCATTAAAAAATGTTATGAGAGTGGCATCTGAGTTGTAATATTAAGCTTTCTATAAATCACAGTGTGGAGAATGAATTGCAAGAGATAAGAATGAATCCAGGGAGATCAATGAGGAAACTGCTATAGTAATCCAGGTGGGTGCCATCGCCAAGGAAATTGACAGGATTGTGGAAGACATAAGGCATCATTTGGGAGACAGTAAGGAACTCAAGTTAATAGCAAGTCATGACCTCAAGGTTACCTAACTCACCAGGCTTCCCATTCCTAACATCCTTGGTCACCATCTAAATTGTTAATGGCTATCTTTTCAACTATTCTGTTAATATCTCTCAGTATTTTCTCTCCCTGAATCCAACTTCCTACTGTGCACCCACCCTCATTCTCTTACCCCAGAATATTACTTTACATTCTCTGAAACCCTTGGTCCTTCTTATACAAACATTCCCACATCCTTAGTCTACAGTATATGCCTCCTACTTCCTTGACTAAACTAAATCCTGCATGTTCCTGAAGAAACTCAGGCCCCTATTGCCCTCTCGGGTGGATTCTGATCACTCTTCAACACTCTACTTCTCTGTGGGTTGAGAGGTGGGGTTGACATTCTCCTTGTCTTTCAGTAGCACTTCCTACACCATTACATCTCTATACTCATATAACATTTTCTACTCCTTAAGGTTATGTCATTTCATGACATTTTGATCTCCCCAACCTGGTCAGTCCGTCACACCTTTGGAAGACTTTGAACGTAGATCATAGTGCTCTAATAGACTTCAGTGTCCATGGGTTTGAGCCATCTTAGTTTTATTTTATTTATTTATTTTCTTTATTGATTTTAGAGAGAGAGGAAGGGAGAAAAAAAGAGATAGAAACATCAATGAGCAAGAACATCAATTGGCCATTTCCTGCATGCCCCCTACCAGGTATTTGGCCCACAACCTGGGTATGTGCCCTGACTGGGAATCAAACCAGTGACCTCTTGGTAATGGGCTGATGCTCAACTACTGAGCCACACTGACTGGGCTTAGTTTCATATTTTTTAAACTCAACTAACTTGTGTTTAGTCAATTTAAGCCACCCATTCCAATGAATTCACTATGCATTTTGTCTCCATTACTGATTTACCTCAGAATTTGAAGCACATCATTAACTCTTTAACTATAACTTACTGCTCTTCCAATTCTTACATGACTTAGCTTTCATAATAACTTTTTCTTCTATTATTTCTCTTTTACTTAGTGCTCTCTGGATCATTTTATCTTTATCCAGCCTGAACTCTGTCGTTGGGTTTGAACGTTCTCTCACTAATTCTCTCAGGTCTCTTGCATCCCAACCTCTCAACCATCTCTTACAGATTTTTATCTCTATATTAGTGACCCACCTTCTCTGATTCTATACCTGATGGAAGAAAAAATATCTGTGCACAAACCCCCAGAGTTGTGATCTGCTTGTCAGACTCATCTTATGTCAAAATCATCTATGGCCATCCACAGATCTTGGGATTCTGCTTGATGTCAATATGCTAGACTATAATTTCCTGTGATAAAATATCAGTGATACTTTGAAACTCTGATGTGGAATCTTGTGGGGGATTTTTTTCCCCCTGTGGAATCACAAAATACTGCTATAGCCAAATCAATCACATGTGTGAGAGCTATTGGCATAGAAAATAATGTGTGGGATCCCATATTCCAGTCAACATCTTTCATATATCACACACTGGGTTGCTATAAGGACAGTTTCAGGCTTGAGGAAATTAGAACTGAGAAGCCACCTGCCTACATCAGAACTTTCAGGTCAGAAATTCCTGAGACACCAATATGCTACAGCTGTCCCCCCCTCCGACATGCTCTCCCCTCTTCTGCAGGTTTGCTTATGTCAGTACCTATTACGTTCTCTTTTGGGGGAAAGTAGACGAGAATGGCTGACATATGAGAAACAATCCCAGAAGATGGATAGTGTTCTGTGGAATAAAATGGCGCCTTTAGTCTCTTCTAACTATTACTATAACCCATTGTTACAACAGAAGCACCACAATGATCTACCTGTAGTTTCTCATCAATGTTCAGCATATGCACTGCCCCTCCCCCACCCTCAACTAAGGGTGGAACTCCAGGTATTAATGGAACTGACCCAATACTTTCTTGATGTTTAGAAATATTACCAATTTCAATCCCTGGTTGCAGGGCCTGTAAGCCATGAAAACATAGCTGAGACCATCACTCTCTTGCCCATTTACTCCCATTCTTCATTTTTTCCTAGCAGAAGTGTCATGACAAAAACATATTCCGTTAGTTTGTACTTCATTTGCCAGACTTACATATATCCCCTGACTTGTCCCACCTCATCTGCCATGGAGCTGTTTGTAGGAACTCTGTCGTAATAAGATAGTGATATTTACCACAGCCAAACCCTCCTTTCCCAAAGTGAAAAGAGTACGGGGGCAATTTACTTTTTACTGGGAGGAATCTCAACTTGGAATTCTGCTCTTCATGAACTTCTCTTAAGGCATCCACAGCCAGATTGTGGGTGAAGGATGGCATGAGCCAGAGAGAATGACAAGGGCCTGATGAAAGTCAAGCTTGCCATGTTGACCTCCTGCTGCTCCAGCTTCGATGTCCATGGCCTGTTCTGAGTAGCTAACGCTGTTACTTCTATGTGATATCTTTGCCAAATTGAACACATTGTGTACGGAATGATTCTGCATCAGAGAATAAGTGAGTACAAAACTAGATTCACTATGTATATGTGATGTGTATAGTTTTCCGATTATGAGGACTAGCATGCATCTATACCAGGAAACAAAAGGAACTGATCTTGCACTAAAGAGTCTTTGAGAAGCTATGTTGTTAATAACAGCAGCTACTCTTAGACATGCTGCTGCCTCGCTGTCACCGGAAAGGGGCCGGCTTGTAGTGTGTGGGTTCTTGACTTTGTGCCGGAAGGATTTCACAATAGGAGTCCAGTTGATTTTGAATGTCCATTTATTAAAGCTGGGGGCAGTGAAGCAAGGAAGGGCTTAGGATGGAAGCAAGAGGAGAGCACCTGGGCAGGGCTGCTTTGGCTTCCGACAAATGTTACAGGAAAGAAGTGAGCTAAGGTGGGGCTGCAGTTAGCTCAGCTCCCTAAGTAAATGTCTCAGTAACAGGAGTGAGCCAAGGAGGGGTGGAGGTCAATTTACTGAAAAGTCAGAGAAAGCAGGCCTTGGAGATAGGTTCAGGTGGTTAGCCCCGAGAAGCTCAGTGGACTGAGCATGGTCCCATGCACCAAGAGGTTGCTCGTTCGATTCCTGGTCAGGCCACATACCCAGGTTGCGGGATCCATCCCCAGTATGGACCATGCAGGAGGCAGCCAATCAATGTTTTTCTCTCATTGATATTTCTCTCTCTCTTCCACCTCTCCATCTAAAAAAGAAGAAAAGAAATCACTGAGAAATTCTGACAGAGCACTTGAGACTTCAGAGGTCCTTAGACTGGTTTGAGAAACAGTAGTGTAGTATCTCACATTAGATAAAATTCAGGTATTTTAGTTTGTAATTACAATAAACAATGCCCAAGGTATCTCTTATTGCAGAAAGGTCTGAAAAAGTTAACAGCACTAATTTTTCCAGGGAATGCGCTATTTACAATGGCTCTTAGGACCTCAGGTTTAAAGGCTTCTTTCCAGGAAAATCCTCCAGCCTGGTTTCTTGGTGAGTTTGTGAGTTTAATAAAATGGTGCTCCTTGGTTTGGGATAGATTAAGATTCAGCCCTGATGATGTGCCAACCTTCAGTATATTTAATCAGCTGTGGTAGAGTTTGTCTATTAGGATATGAATAGGCAGACTGCAGAAAGAACACCTTCCTTTATCCACTAACTCTTCTCTTCATCGTTGACCCCACTGCCCTGTTTGTCTCATGCCAATCCTCCAGGTGATATTGTGTAGGATGATTAGGGGGAATTAACCCTTTAGAGAGTCTGAAATCTGGATTTTGTTCATTGGGGTAGGCTTTGCCTTTCATTCTCCTGCCCCTCTCTTTTCTACTTGGTTTCTACAAAAAAACACATACTCTTCTTTTTTGCTGCTTCTCCAGAGTAATAGCCTCATGAATCCTGTTCTGCCACTCCTCTGGGGAGGATTTAGCTATCGACCAGGGATACTAGAGTGCGTGCAAGGACTGTGAACATCTACTGTCTCGTCTTTTGCACTAAAAGGTAATCTGCCAGATCCTCTTCTGCCCCTTGCTGTATCAGCGCTCTCCATTCAGGGATTCCTTCCTCATTCCTTTTAGCCACGTGGGTTTGGACACTGAGAGTAGGCAGGAGTGGATAAAACCTGAACTTTCTGCTCCAGGGTCACAGACAGGAGATTCTTGTGGTCAGACATCCCTGGATGGCCCCACAAGGCTGTGTGAGAATGTTAATCTGTGTGAGTATGTTAATCTGTGTATGCAGGCATACCCAGATCCTGGTATCTTGTCCCCCATCACAATGAACTCACCCTTCTTCGTTTGGATGCCAAATGAAGACAGCCAATTCATTCACTCTCTTTAACCTGGTGGTCAATCCTGGGATTTTCTAAGCCAAGATCCTTCCAACCTCGCATCCGAATGCATATCTCAAAAGCCAAAATAGTACCCTCTTCTCACATTTCTCTTGAGAGTGTGAATGTGTTAGTGTGAAGTGTCAGTATGAGTGTATGTATTCAACTCACTTAAAAACCCCTTCCATGTATCAGGTAATACTGATATATCGATAATGGAGATAAGTGATAAATGATTTACTACCTTGAGGAAGCAACTCAGTCCAGGGAGACAAATATTTAATCACATATTTAAAAGACAATGTATTCCCTATCACATTTGGTCTTCACATTGAATTTTGCTAGCAACACAGTGCTAGTACCAAAGAATGAACAGAGAGCAAAATAATGCAAAGGGTAAAAATAGTGAGAATAAGCATTTTCCTCAAACAATCACAGTAGACATGTGTTATTATGCTTTGTCCTTAACAACAATTTTCCTAATCAATTTTCCTTGCAGTTGCTTCTAGATCATGATCTATTAGTAAAATGAAATATTGTATAATGTCGTGAGCTAGCCTTTACTGTCCTAAATTCTTTCAAGGTTTTACATTTTTTTTAGTCTCTGTATAAACACTATAGGATATGTATTATTTATATCGCCATTTTACAGATGAAGGAAGCTAAGTACAGAAAAGCTAAGTAATTTGCTGTTGGTCACCCATTAACTAGAAAAGAGGATTCAAGTCCTTCAGGTTAGCTTCAGAGTTCCAACTGTCTCTCAGTGAGCTGTGCTCTCTCCTTACAAATAAGGGAAGACCATGCTCAGTGGACTCTCACTGCAGGAGAAATGTCTGTGAAAAAACGCACCCACTGCAAATACACATCTACACATAAACACACATGCATTCACGCTCCATTTAAAAGATTAAGGTGACATATAGAGACTGATAGCTTGCTTTCACTTAATAACCTGTTATAGTCATCTTGCTAAGTCACCATGCTTGGATGTAATAGCATTTTAAGTTTTACCTAAAAGGCAAATCTGTCTCATTTGTTGTTCTAATGTACATGTATTTGTTAATGTTCACTGTTCAGATTTACTTAATTTTTGTTAATTGGATATTTAAATCCTTTGCACATCTTTCATTATAGATTTTTAAGAGGTCTTATATTTTAGAAATAATAAAAATTTTTCTGTTAATTTTTTTGCAAATATTTCCTCAGATTTATTTTATTTTTAAAATTTTGTTTATAGTGGTATTCACTACATAGATTTTTTATTTGTCAATTTTATTTTTCTTTATGATTTTTTTATGTACATGTTTAATAAAACTTTTATCATCCAAAGATGGGATAGATAGGTGATAAGGATACAGATAGACTACATCATGTCAAAAAACACATAAATGCTTTTGGAAGTTAGATCAGTGATTCACTAAGAATTAATTATTGCTTATACTGACATTACATATACATATAAATATGTTTAAATATAAATGTAATATATATGTGTATAAATATAGATGTATACATATGTTCTGAAGTGAATAAGCAATTGTCCATACTTTTTGTAAAGTAATATATTTACTTAAGATGCCATGATTGTTATTTATTAAATTTTCATACATACTAAAATCTGGTTTAGTTCTATAATATATTTATTGGACAACTGTTTTATGCCTGCTCAGTATTCACTATATCAACAACAGAGGAAAAATATACTATATATTTTATATCTGATAGGATATATTTACTTTACTCCTTCATTTTTCTTTTCTGCATCTCATTTCCTATCATAAAATTACTCATCTAGATAAAGATACTTTTAAAATAAGGTTATTAAGTTCTCTACCAGAAATCCTCTGTGAATTTAGTAAGAATTTTAGCAAATTTATGGATAAATTCAGATGAAATTAACATCTTTATAAAACTGTGTTGTATTGATAAGATCAGTGTGTCTATTCATGTACTCACACATCATATTTCATCGTTTTTTTCTCAAATAGATATTAAATGCTTCTTAAGTGTGCACATTAAGTTTAACCATTGGAAATACTTTTTTAACTAAAATTTCTACTTGGTTATTTTTGGTATGAATATCTAATACAAGAATGCTCAGTGACTTCATCTTGTACCAGATCACACTTCTTACCAGTCATCATAAGCTTGAATTGCCTCTTTAAATTTGTAAAAAGATATACAATCAAATTATCTTCAAATAATCTTTATCACTTTGCTTAATATTTGTTTCTTTCATTCTTTCTATTGTGATGTGGACAACACCCTCCCTCCAAATGTTTAAAAATATCTGTCAAAATATGCCTGACTGTTATTTTTGTGCCTACAGAGAGTTCTGCCATAGCAGATTAGCCCTAAACCCTTCAAATGGAGAACATCTGTGGGCTGGTTTGCAAGGAGTGGTGAGGGGAACAGGCAGAGAGAATTAGGTGAACGTTTCACCTCCTCTGCAACCAGTTATTGAGCAAGAAAGAATAACAACTGCAGCAAGCAAACAAATGAGGGAGGCTTAGAGGAACCAGTTTGAAAACTTCTCTGAGTCTTTGTGTCACCATCTGTGTACGGGGGATGATTATAACTACTTCATACAAACTTAAAGAGAATTTAAAATTAAAAAGTAAAGGATGTAATAGAAAGTATTAATAGTGATTGCCACCAGGAGAGAATCTAATACATGATAATTAGCATCACTATTGCCAAAGAGAGATAAAGTGTGGAGGACAAATGAGGGTGTAGTTGAAAGATGCTACTAAATGCAATGACCAACGAAGCAGCTATTTTTACTGATGGTTCTCAGCACCCTCTTCACATTGAAAACATATGGCAGAAGAATTTGTTTAAGGACCAAGATCACACACTTCTACATTTTCCTTTAAATTCCCATCTGTTGTTCAGTGTTTCTTGGGGATTATTTTGTAAATATGATGAAAAACTCAGACTTCACAAATTTTATTAGACAGGATGTAGCTTAAAACCCTAACTGGCTTAAAACAACATCAGTGTGTTTGCTTCTCAAACCTACATAAAAGGACGGATGAACAGTGAACAACATTAGTCTTCTCAGGACTATATATAGCCCAGCCATGTAGCATACTCAAAATAATTTCTGCCCCTCTGGTGCCATTAAATAATTCAGGAAGAGAGAAAATCAGAAATGTCTTTCAGTTGTCAGAATTACTGAGCAAAAAGAGAACTCTGCTTCTTACATGTGGAAGTTGTTAAGAACAAAATGCAATAGCCCGGTTTTAGATACAATTTAATAACATATGCAAGTTACTCAGATTTTTTAAAATAACTGACTGATATATGTTTCTTTTCTTGGTGCTTCCTATACACAGTAATATAGGTATTCACGGGAGAAGAAAACCAAACCCACGTGACTGAATTTATCTTCCTGGGCCTTTCACAGGATCCACAGACACAAGCCTTGCTCTTCTTCCTTTTTCTGATCATCTACCTGCTGACTGTGCTGGGAAATCTGCTTATCACTGTGCTCATTCACAAAGACCCCAGACTCCACATGCCCATGTACTTTTTCCTTAGACACCTGTCTTTTGCTGATCTCTGCTTTTCCACCACTACAGTCCCTCAGGTGCTAGTCCACTTCCTAGTAAAAAGGAAAACCATTTCCTTTGCTGGATGCTCAATGCAGATGGTTGTTTTACTTCTGGTTGGCGCTACAGAGTGTGTGCTGCTGGCGGTGATGTCCTATGACCGGTATGTGGCTGTCTGCAAGCCCCTGCACTACTCCGCCATCATGACACACTGGGTGTGTGTCCAGCTGGCTACCGGGTCCTGGGCCAGTGGAGCATTTGCGTCTCTGGTGGACACCACATTCACACTGCGTCTGCCCTACCGAGAATACAATATCATTAACCATTTTTTTTGTGAACCTCCGGCACTCCTGAGGCTGGCTTCAGCTGATACCTACAGCACAGAAATGGCCATTTTAGGGATGGGGGTGGCCATCATCCTAGCACCTGTCTCCCTGATCCTTGTCTCCTACTGGCATATTATCTCCACTGTGATCCAGATGCAGTCTGGGGAGGGCAGGCTCAAGGCTTTCTCTACCTGTGGCTCCCATCTCATCGTCGTGGTCCTCTTCTATGGGTCAGCAATATTCGCCTACATGCGGCCCAACTCCAAGGTAATGAACGAAAGGGATAAAATTATCTCTGTGTTCTACTCAGCAGTGACACCCATGCTGAACCCCATCATTTATAGTCTGAGGAACAAGGATGTCAAAAGGGCTCTCAGGAGAGTGACTGCAACATAGTCTTTCTGAAGGTGGGGGTCTCTGATTGTGATAACAATTTTAGAAATATGGAGAAAAATGATTTTCTTGTAAACTTTTCTCATTTCATTTCATCCCTCCTCTTTTTTTTCTTTCTTCACCTTTCTTTTCTCAAACAAATTCAAGAAACTGCCTATTCAAAGCAAGGCACCTTGAGAGACATAGGAAAGAAATATAAAAATGAAAAAGAAGGAAGGAAAGGGAAGAAAGTAAGGAAGAAAAAACAAAGAGAAGAAGGGAGGAAAGAAAGACAGTATGGTCGGCAGTTGGACAGACGTGAGCAGTGCAAGGACAATGGGCCAGGTACAGAAGGTCTCCAGGACACGAAGCCCCGGGTGCCTAGCAAAAGACAATTGCAGGGTGGGACCTTGTCCCCCTGGGTGACATTCCCTCCCCTAGCATATCTCTAGTCATGGGGTTTGGACCCCCTGAACTTTCCTCCCTAGAGGCCTCAGTGTAAAGGACAAACACATGACCTTGTCCCCTGGATTTTAAGGGAATGGCAAGAACTATCTACTAATAGATAACCACTGCATTGTATAGACAACCATTGCTTTGTGTACACAGAAACTGATTGTTCCCTCAGGCATAACAGCTAACTGCAAATATCTGCTTCTGTACATGCTTGCTTGCTCGCATATCCTTAATCCAAATTCCTTAACAGGGGCTAAGACAACTATATAAGCAACCCTCCCCCTGAGCTCGGGGCTGCTCTCTCCTCTGAGTAGGATGGGACAGTCGCTGCATGGCTAAGAGAGCTCTCCTAATTTGAACCCAGTTCGGAGTCTGAGTCTGGTCTCTCTCGTTGGTCTACAACATCAGTTGTATTTCAGCTCCAGGCCCAGAAAGGCAGCAAACCAGACAAGAAACACCATGGCTGACCTCAGGACCGACTGCATTGGATAATGATCCCCTGCTCTGGCCGCGACCAATCAATCTGTGGAGAGCTAGACCCTGAAAGGACACAACTGTAAAGCTGCTGAATTCTCTATTGAGATCTTTCCCTGGGACCTTCCCTAAAATATCCACCTTTAAAACCCTTAGGACAGCACCAAGCGTTCTCCCTTCCAGGAACATCCCCGCACCTTTCCCTTCCACCTCGACCCCAGGTAACGGCCTGGTGGGGTAAGAGGCAGGAAGGCAGAAAAGAAGCGGGGAGGAGTACATACATAGATTTTTCTTTTTTTTTTACTAAGAGAGGCTTTCCTCACCCCCAATGTAATAAATGTTCTCCTATGTTATCTTCTAGTTTTAGTTCTACTTTTCTTTATATAAGGTAACACTAGTTACTGTAACATAGGATTCGGCAAACTTTTTGTTTAAAGTGCCAGATGATAGCCCTGGCCAGTTCGGCTCAGCGGTTAGAGTGTAGGCCCTCAGACCAGAGAGTCATGGATTTGATTTGGGTCAAGGGCTCATACCTTGGTTGCGGTTCAGTTCCCAGCCCTGGTTGGGGTTGTGCAGGAGGCAACTAGTTGATGTGTCCCTCTCACATGATGTTTCTCTCTCTCTCTCTCTCTCTCTCTCTGTCTCTGTCTCCCTTCCTCCCACCCTCCCTTCTTTCCTCCCACTCTATCTGAAAATAAATGGAAAAATATCCTCAGGTGAGGATTTAACAAAAAAGGGGTGGGGCAGATAAGTAGTTTAGGCTTTGTTGCCATACTGTTTCCATTGCAACTTCTCTCCTCTGTCATTGTAGTGAGAAAATACTCACAGACCATACAGACCATACAAAAATGGATGTGTTCCAATGACACTTTGTAAACAATACAAACATGGCCCCAGGGCTATGTTTGCTGACCCCTGCTCTAACAGATACATCTCTCTAGTGGCTTAACAGGTAGAAGTGTATGTTTCACATATATACATTCTAGTTGAGGGATAGAGTGGCAGGTTTGTGGATCCACATAGTTCTGCTATTTGAAGTGTTCAGGGTCATCCTGCATCCAACAACCAGAAAGATGAAGGAAGAAAGGTCGTCACTGGTAAGTTTTGTGGTTTAGGAACAGCACACATCATATCTGCTCACATTCTATTTATTGAAGTTCAGTCCTATGTCCCCTCATAAATCATGGGAAACAAGAGGGACATGAGTCTGGAGTGGGCTGCCTGACATTAGGACTTTGTTTTTAACCATTAGGTCTCTAAAATATCTGGGAGCCAAGAGAAGAAAAATTTCAAGAGAAAGGAAGTGTCAACTGTGTCACTCATGCTAAAAGGTATACCAAAAAATATAGAAATGACCACTTGATTTGGAATATCAACGATGACTTTGACAAAGAACAGATCTATGGAAAGAGATCAGAGCTTGATTGGGAGGAGGTTAAAATGCGAATAAAATACCAGCAGAGGAGAAAGTGGGCATAGACATATCTTTTGAGATTGTTTTTTCTCTGAAGAGAAGTTGAAAAAATGGGTCAGTGACTGTCTTTATGTTGGCACAATATGAGCACACTTGTATCCTTATGTTAATGATCCAGAAGAAACAAAGAAAGTGGTTTCAGATTAAAGGGATTCTGCAGGAGCAAAATCTTTGGCAGGGGAGTGAGTTTGGGATCCAGAGTGCTGGTGGAGCAGTCAGCCTTTGACAGACAGCTGTAGGGGGGAAGCCGGGCGTGCATGTGCAGGGACAGGCAGGGGAGGTGTGAAGAGGTGAAGGTGGGAGGCTGCCCTCTCCGATCTCCCTCCCTTCCACTTCTCAGCCCATACTTTCCCTCCTATTCCAAGTGAGGGATGGAGTAAGGTCATCGGCTGAGACTACGGATGTGAAATAGTCATTTTAAGAAAGACACTGGGACTGGGTTCAAGAGGGCAGCACTGTACTGTGTTCTGGGAGGCGTGGCTGAGTATTGCAAAAAAAAAAAAAAAAATGCCCCAATTACATATGAAATTATTAGTTGACTATATTCACAATGAAATTACCAGTGAGCCTTTATGAAATAGATAATAGAATCATATATCTTCCGAAAGAGTACATAGAAGGAAGCTAGAACTGAATAGCCAAGAAATGTAGCTTAATATTATATTTATAAGAACATAATATGTAATGATAAAAAGAGAAGAAATGAACAGAAAAAGGGTGGGTTATTTTAAAATAGCAATAGGAAAGTAGCAACTTTATGAAAACTAAGTTAAAAACCTTACCATATCAAGATAAATGAGAAAGTTACTATAAAACTTGACTGCAAATTATAAAATGATTACAACAAATAAAATATATAAATTGTTATCAAAAGGTAGAGTAGAAAATTACATCCTAACAGTAAAATCACTGAAAGAAATAAGAAGAAACAAATGGATATATTTCACAACAAAAATATCTTTAATACTTCTCTGTCTAAAAGCCTTACCCTGGAGATACTAAAAAATACAATAACAAATGCATTTAGAAAAACATTATTACCATAAATATAACAAAGTACTGTATTTGTATCTCTAATCTGTAAAGAACTCCAACAACTCAATAAGAAAAATCTAAATAAATTAATTATTCAAATTAAAATGATAGATTTAAATGTTAAACCTAATAAAAAGTAAAGACTATTTATTTCTTAAATTTAACATGGAAAGGTGCGGTGGGTTAAATACACTTACATATTGCTGGTAAAAATGCAAAATGCTTAACATTTTTTAAAAATCAATATCTTTTTATATTAAGACTATTAAAAAATTTTGCCCTTCGTTTTAATAATTTCACTCATAAAAATTTATTCTAAGGGAAAAAAATTAGTCACACACCTAAGAGATTAACATTGTTTTTACCCACACTCATACACTCACAACATCATTAAATTTATAATAGTGATGAAATAGCAAATTCTATTACAAAGCAACTATGTGATGTAACATTATGTTAGCACATAAAAGCGTTTTTAAGGCTATTTATCATATAGGAGTTAAGATTTATTAAATATTCATTATATGCCAGGTGCTGTTCTATTTTTTAATCCTCACCAGAGGATATGTTTTTATTCATTTCAGATAGAGAACAGGGAGGGGGAAAGAGAGAGAGAGAGGTGTGAGAGAGGAACATTGATAGGTTGCCTCCCATTTGCACCCTGACCAGAGATTGAACCCACAACCTAGGTATATGCCCTGACCGGGAATCAAACCTGCAACCTTTTGGTGTACAGGACAATGCTCCAACCAACTGAGCCAGCTAGCCAGGACAGGGTTCTAAAATGCCTTACAGTTATATTTACTAAATTATTTAATCCTCATAACAACTATGAAGCAGGTTTTACTGTTACTGCGTAGACGTGCAGACTGAGGTACAGAGTGAATAAGTAACTTGCTCAGTTATATACAGTAGTCCCCTCCCTATTCTTGGGCGATACGACCTCCAGTGAATATCTGAAACTGTGGATTGTACCAAACCTTGTAAATTAGGCACAAAAAGAGATTAACAACAGTAACTATTAATAAAATGGAACAATAAGCTATAAAAATTACTATGTGAATGTGGTCCCTCTCTCAAAATCCTATCTTATTGTACTGTACTCACCCTCCTTCTTGTGATGCTGTGAGATGAAAATACTCCTTAAGTCAGAACTTTCCCCTTTTCACTTAGAGGAAGCATTTTTCAGCTTCTCTTTGGCATATTCAAATCGCCAGCATGGCTACTCCTATGCTTTGGGGCTGTAACGACGTAAAAGGAGGATCTCAAACACAAGCATGCATACCAGACAGTCACTCTGACAACAGGTGGCTACTAGCGGAATAGCTGGTCCCAGTGTCTAAAGCCTGGAGAAGCTGGAGGAAGGCGTGGTTCAGATCCTGGGAAGACCAGCATGAGGGTTCATCATGCTCCTCAGAATGGTGTTCAATTTAGAACTTATGGATTATTTCCGGAATTTTTCATTTAATATTATGACCATGGTGAACTTTGGGTATCTGAAGCTGCAGAAAGCAGAAGTGTAGGTAGGGGGCGGGGGACTGCTGTATAAGTAAGCAGGGTATATTAAAATCAAAGCTCGGTACTCTGACAACTG